ATCAGCTCTTGTTTTAGAGACATGAAATGGCTGAGAGTAAAAGAACCATATGGGTGAAGCTTACTCATTTATTCCCATAAGCTTTTACTCACAACCATTCCACCATTTTACAAGGACAAACTGGTATCTAGGAGTTATATTCACGCAAAAGATATTCGTGTTGCGTAGATACTCACAATGCTTCTCCACAAGACAGCCTTCTTTCGTAGATGGTTCACTTATGGTACAACGCAGCTATTCTCTAAAAGAACTACGGCGAGCCATAGGATTGCTACATTAGGAAACATTTGAATAGACAAAATATTTATTTTGGATAAACTTGAATTAGTTGCCTTTTCAACTTTGCACTTCACAACATTTTTCAATGTAAGATTTTCTTTAAGCCGCAAGACTGTCATACTTTATATAAAACCTATTTACATATATGTAACGGGTGATTTTTTAAGAGGTATAGGATTTGATTTTCAAAAAAAAACACAAAAAATTTGAAAAAACGATTAAATCTTTATTTGAGTGGATAGAACGGTCGATATAATTTAATGTTTAAAGATTATTTCATGTAAATGTTGGCCGCGGCTCCGCTTTAGATGGCCCATGCGCAAGGTCCAATTTTGGCACACCCTCTCCAACATATATCGGCCGGTATCTCACGAATAAATTCTTCAATATTAGCTTCCAGTGCGTCAATCGTTGCTGGTTTATCCCTGTAGACATTAGCCTTAACATGGCCCCACAAGAAATAGTCCAACGGCGTTAAATCACACGATCTAGGCGGCCAATTGACGGGCCCCAAACGTGAGATAAACTATTCACCGAACTCGCCTCTCAATAGGGCCATTGTTTCGTGTGCGGTGTGGCATGTGGCACCGTCTTGTTGAAACCACATGTCAGCCAAGTCCAGCTCATCCATTTTAAGCAAAAAAAAGTTTGTTATCATCGCTCGCCATTCACAGTTACGTTCCGGCCATTGTCGTCTTTGAAGAAGTAAGGCCCGATGATGCCACCGGCCCATAATCCACACCAAACAGTGATTTTTTCGGGATGCATTGGTAGCTCTTGCAATGCTTCTGGCTTGTCTTCACTCCAGATGAGGCAACTTTGTTTGTTAACGTACCCATTCAACCAGAAATGAGCTTCGTCCCTGAACACAATTTTTCGATAAAAATGTGGATCTTCCTCCAACTTTGCCAGTGCCCATTCACCAAATGGGAAACGTGGGAGGTCGTGTGGCTTCAATTCTTGCACCAGCTGTATCTTCATCTGTCAAAAACAGTGCTGTCAAAAAGATACTAGCAAAAAAATCACCTATTACAACTATTATTACTTGTGTTAACATCAAAATATTCTAGTTTTTCTTGTTTTTTTTCTTTGTTGCACCGTTGTACTATTTTTTTTCAGGTCAAGGGGCAGAGTGGCACTATACCAAACTCCGCATCTTGAAGACGATTATCACTACTATTATTATATTCTTGAGGATTCAGTTTATAGACGTGTCGATAGTTTTGCAGTACATCCGGTAGCTTTGAAACTATTTTTCTGTAACGATCCAAGTTCAGAAAGTCTTCCTCGCCATTTCCTCTTCCTCGCTAATGGATATGGCTTGGAAACATCTTAAACGTTCGCTTGTCATTCGCAACAATTACAATTAGAAACTATTGAGAAAGATTGCCGCGTGTCACTGGCCGAACAATGCACTGCTCCGCGGCTCGTTATTAACTGTTATAAATTTCTTTTATGTCCCGCAGTTATTACTCGATTTTTCTTCGGGCTGAACGTTATGGTCGGCATTGCAGTGGACATATGGTAGTTATACAGGGTGTTTGAAGGAGTACTTGACTGCCGGAGAAAGAAAATACGGAAAACGCGAAACGTGCGCGTTTATTGGGCTGCATATGGAGATGTTTTTACACCTACTCAGCAAAACTCGAGGTTAGGGTTTAGCTAGGCAGTGTATAGAGAGGTCATGTAGAGAAAAGTACTTCTTAGCTCTAAACAAATAGTCAGCTTATGATAAGTTCTAGGACGCTTTTTGTTCGTCAAGGTACAGTACCATGTTTTGGAAGCACTCTGGATTACTGCCTGTTGTCGAGCAAAGCTGTGGATCGGATTAATAACAACCTACCTTTATTTGCAGAAGAACCTTTAGAAAATACCAAAGTTTAGTTTAGTATTTTGCAACAAAAGTTTATTTCGAGGAGGTGCAGTTAAGAGCCTCCTGAACCTACTGTACTCCCGAATATCCAGTTACTGTTTTTATTCGGGTAATGCTTTCTTTGAGGAGGGTCAAGAAATGCTAACTTTGGACGACGAGATCAATGGTGACCTTAGATCTGACCTGGATGCTCATTTTCAAGGTCAGGCTATGTTTTTTTAAATAGAAGGTCCTCTTTTCGGTACCAACAATCGAAAGTTCGGGAAATTCTATGTCCGAATAAATATTAGAATATATGGTCAAGGTCACCTTTAAAGTCAAAACCAACGGCCGGAGCTAAAATAACTTTTAACAAGGCTTTTAATATTCACATTCTCTTTGACTTTGAGCCACAAGGAAAGCAATATTACTAGTTTGTACAAAACTTAATCTTCCATAACCTTTAATGTTGAAGATCAAGTCTATTTTGAATAACAAAATGATGCACAAACCATGGGCGTAGTGAAGAAAAGCATTTGCTTATTAAGTAAACTCTTTTAGTCAAATTTCTTCTGAAAGTAGTACAAACTAATCTGATGTACCTATTAAAGTCTACTTTAAGCTTTAAGTCAATAAATCTTTAAAACTACTGTATTTTACATCATCATAAAGGGAATTGAAATACCTTTACAATAAGGTATCAATCGACCCCCCTTTCCATTTAAGATTTTACGATTGGTGTCACCCCCGCCCAGGGGGCTGCACGTGTTAACGTGATTTTTTGCCAAACTTGTGTCCCCCTCGAAAACAAAATCGACGGGTCTGAGCGTTTTTCAAAAAAAAACTCATCTGCGTCTGTTTCGTTTTCGATGCGCCACCCTGTATATCCCAAATCCCCGTCATTTCAGATGTTCGCATTTGAATTTAAAAAATCCGCTTTTCCTTCAATTTCCATATGTCCATACTACATTCAAAGCTGCTGTTTTTGTTCAGCTGTCCATCCTCCATTTGCAAATATTTCCCACCGGGTAATTCTTTATTGTTATTTGAACACCGTGTGCCGTTATCGTTAATAAAGTTCAGCTTAGCGTATTGTATACTGCAACATGTTTGTGTATACATTTGCATGTTAATAAGTTACTTTATGCTTTGTTTTCTGTCCTACGGTTGATGTTTGTTAGTCTGCCGATTTTGTTGCAGATAGATTCTAATATTATGGTGTAGTGATGGTGAATAAGCATACTACTACTCAGGCCGATTCGGAACATCCTGAAGTTGTTTCTCATAGCGGGGTACATGGTGTCGAAGGTTTAATTTCGAAATCGAAGAAAAATTATATATTCGGAGTATATATGAAATTTAGTACATCTACTAACATCATAGCCTGTATAAAAAGTAGACTGTTTGAACTTTTCAACAAAAAATCATTCCACAGATTGCAGCAATGAGCGTGTTCGTACGCAGTAGCCCAAATTATTTAGAGCTGTACAACCGAATGTACACATATTTGCCAACAATGTTTGATGAGAGATTATAGTAGATCTTGATTCCTCACGAAATCAATAAACCTCATTAAATTACGTCCCAGCATAGTGCTTTTATATACATACTTTGAAGTTGAGTCATTAATTTTCAGATAATGATTGTAGAAGGAAGATAAACTAAAATATGTGTGTAAAAACAAAATAAAAATTAAAAAAAAAATTACCTTGTTTTATAAAGTATCCTCCCGACAAGTATTTCAGTGCGGACCTGTATTTGATCGTGAAGTCTTGGAGCACCGGCATGCTGTCCCCTGTGAGGTCTTAAGTCACCTGATTCACGAGCCCGTTGTACTACATTAACAAAGGCACGAGGGGTTGGTTGCACTCGATTGGGAATCGATCCGCATAAACATGTGCCATTTTTTATTTCGTTTGAGCCACGCAACAGACACCACTATTCACTCACGCGTTACCGACTGACACTGACTGTATACAACTGAATAAAATAATTGTAAAAACATCGTTCCAAATTCTTTCGCTTTTTTGTTTCCGATGCGATGAACCGATAAGGCGGATTATATCCGTCGTTGCCAAACACGAGCACATAATATTATTATTGAGACAGGGCGGTACTCAAACTTCCAAAGGGCTATAACTTTGTTACTTTAATTTTACCAGAAAAATGGTAAAGGAAAAAACATTTCTTTTGATCAGATCTACTCACTGTTAAAATAAATGGCATATGTAGATAATATCGGGCCCACCTGGTATGTGCACATATACATAAGTCCCTCGGATCCACTACCAAAGATGTAATATTTACAACACCGAGGCGCACGGCAAATGCGACCGATAGGTCGTGGCGCACGGCAAATGCGACCGATAAGTACGTGATCCGTCTGTCGAAAAGTTCAAGGCCAAAAATTCCGAATGAACAGTGCCCTACCTGAACCATCGTGCAAGGCATAATATGGGTATATGGCAATATGATTATATACAATGAAAGTTGAGTCATGTAGTATGCCGATAAACCTACAGATAGTGCTCGAAACAGATAAGGAAAGAGTCGATGAAATATCCCTGTCGCAATTTCATGTCAAGCAGTGACAAAATGCGTTACGGCCTGCATGCTTGCACTCGTGGAGATAAAATTGGGGTATATTTGAATTTAAATCAGGCCGCCCCTCAGTCTGCGACCGCAGAAAGGCGTGTATGCTTTGGGTTTTATTTGCACTTCAATATGTTGGGAATATTTCGACTTCGTATAAGCAGGTTACGTTATTAGTTACGTTGCTGAGAGTCCTGCAACTGTTTGTCCTGAAAATGATACTATTCTTGAAAACAAAACATGTGGCTTAAAAAACGTAAAGAATGGTCAAGGAATGCTTGTATGTTTAATGTTTACACTGCCGTAAATCGTCGCCTGTTGCTGAATTACATTCCAAAAACTTGTTGATAACTTTCAGGCGTCCCCAGCAAATAACTTGCTGAACTAGCTAGCAACATGCTGCATGTTGTTGAGTGTTTTCGAACGATACCAATGTTGAGTAGAAATCTACAACAAATAGCTTAAAATAATAAGCAATCCAAAGGGCAGACTTACCTCACGAGAGAAACAGCATAGTTATCTTTAGATGATACTAATTGCAGCATACTGAGCAACCGTGTTAGCAGCAAGTGAGGATAGGACTGATTCGGCCTACAATTTTCCCTGGCATGGGGATAATGCTGTGCCGCTTATTTTACATACGTACAACCAACATAAGAAGTCGGATTTCGACGACAAAAACACACTAAAACTAGCTCAGTCGTTCTATTCATAGCGTGTTCTCATTCAGCCAAATATTATTTCCTGCCATACAGGAGACCCTGCCTTCATATCGATCTAATTCTCCTTTGAGTTGGCCGACATAGTCGAGCGTTGCATCGTACAAGGCAAAACGCAAACGGGCAATTTATCGAGGGTTGTAAATTTTTAAAAATGCACAGGCGGCGGCCTGTTTATAGACGATTATGCCTAGTTAAATATATCGGCGGTAATAATAGGTTAATATTTATAAACGACCCATTTACATGCGACGAAACGCGGCGCAAAATACTCACGGCGATAAGTGTCGTTGTTTCAAGACAAAAAATAGAGATGAGTAGGTTGATTTGGTAATTTTAAATGTATTTATATGAGCCCCTTCCCACTTCAGTTGGCCCACTTCAAGATTTGTACCAAAACATGTCTTTATAAGCTAAACATGACGAAACTATTTACTTCTAAAACAATTTATTTTCTCAAAAACATTTTAGATACACTCTAGTTAATTGTTAATATTTTAAACCCATAGCAGGCTGCTGCATTTTTATTATTTGTGTTTGATAAGAAAAAAACTAAGATTTCAATAGTTGGGCCAACTGTCAACCTTCATATCCTGAGTATTGTCTTTGACGAGACATTTGGCAGTTATCACACATGGAGACGTAACATTCTGGAGCAGTTTAATGCTTTTAAAACACAGTACATGAAAAGTATTATACCAACTTTCAGGATTTCCTCTATATTTGTCACTGGTGTAGAGTCTTTGATTTGGTTACAGCCAGTATCACCCGATCATTTAGCCTCCTGGCAATGTGTATTGTGGTTCTGACGGCAAATATTCAAGAACACATGCACATGCATTTTAGCGATGAAGCATTAAGTTACGACCTTAAAGTACCAATCGCCGGCACCATTTGCAGAATTATGCAGTCGAAGCTTATGATTATCTTTTTTCCTTACAAATACCGACGAAGTTCAAAGAATAGTCCAGAATAGGTCAACAGAGGACATTCAATGTTAGCTTTTTAGGTGTACGGATTTTCCCGATCTGTTCTTTGATATGTTCCGCCCCTCTTCATTCGTCATTTATTCTTCTCTTATGCCCACAGATGAGTTTTATATATTAGAGGAAATTTGAGTTCCTTCTGCATAAATAAAAGATCCAATCAATGTTATGGATTACGCCAGTATACCCCACTCAGACTGCATTAACTTCGAATACGCTTAGTGTTATGGCTATAAAGTTGTACCACAAGTTAACAATATGTATGAGAACTATACCAAAGTCTCTCTTTTTAAGGCTAAAACAGGAACAATTATGTTAAAAAACGCTTTTATAAGATTGAGGAATATTTCAATTATGTACTTGAAGCATATTCACTGTTGCATTCATTTCTCCAATATTGTGATGTTATGTATGATTCTACTTATATCTGTTCTTATACACTGAATACCAAATACCACTAACGTCGTAATGTGTACTAGAGAGACGCGCGAGAAGCATGCAATACGTATACTAAGTGACAAATAAATCCGAACACCCAGTTTAGATGGTTTTATTTTAATAAAATTTTGTATAAGTACTTAATGAAGCATAATAAGTAAATGATAAAAATTTCAAAATGATTGCACTGCTTTAAAGCCCTTTGACCTTTAATAATGTGTGGATGCACCCTGATGTGCTACGCATTCTCCAACGCGTCTAGGCATGCTTCTGATCAGGTGGTCAAGGTCCTCCTGTGTATCTCATTCCAGGTAACCACCAACTCCTCTCGAAGTGCTTCTAGAGTCTGAGGAGGACGTTGCAAATTGAGCAATCTCGTACCCATAATATCCCACACGTGCTCAATTGGGGATAAGTCGGGAGATCTTGGTGGCCATGGTAACAATGTGACATCATTATGATGAAAGAAGTCTATTGTGACTCTTGCAACATGTGGTCGGTCATTATCTTGTTGGAAAGTTGGATCTGCCAGGGTGTCAAGATAGAGTAAAAGATGGGGTTCTAGAACTTCGTGGATATAACGCTGCGCGTTCATGTTACCTCTGATGAAGATTAAAGGTGACCTGGAACCATAAGCTACAGCACCCCAAACCATAACTCCAACAGTGTGATGAACATGTCTTTCAACAAAAAACTGTGGATTCCTCCTTTCACCACGTCGCCTTCTAGCGACCATCGTGCATGCCTAAACAAAATCGAGACTCGTCACTAAAGAGAATACTGTTCCATTCCTGATCCCAGAGTGACTGTTGTCTGCACCACTCGAGGCGATTACGTCGGTGTTCTCGAGTTAAAGGGAGGACCCAGTGTGGCCGGTATGAAAACAAGCCAAAACTTCTCATTCGTCGGTAAACACTTCGCATGCCAATAGGTCTTCCGTGTTCTGCAAACCATTCATTTGCAATGGACCTGGTAGTGGAGAAACGGTCCCTTAAGGCCAATAATCTTAGGCGACGATCTTCACGGTCTGTTGTTCTACGGCGGCGTCCAGTGCCCCTTGCTCTTTGCGTACGGCCTTCTCGAAGCCATGCCTGACAACACCTAACCACAGTGTCTACACTTCTTTGCACTCTAACTGCAATTGCCCGAAAAGAAGGTCCAGCTTCCCGAAGTCCCACTATACGGCCCCATTCAAACTCACTAAGTTGACGAAATCCTACAGGTCTCCGTACTCTAGGCATCGTAACCGATCGTAAAGGATGTCAAGAACCAAAATCCGCCAACGTTGATTCTTTACTGCGGCTGAAATATTCATTTTTAGAGCGTTAGTGAATTAAAAAAAAGCAGTATAAAAACCGGGATGTCCAACTGATAAGGCTGAAAATGTTTTCACTTGTTATTTACAGTAAGATAAATACATTCACCAACTTTTACTAAAATAAAACCATTTAAACTGGGTGTTCGGATTTATATGTCACTTAGTATATGTTAGAAAGAAATAGAAACACTTCGTTGCCCAACAACCCGAGTAACGAGGCCACGGACGCCATTACGGACACTTTTCGACGTCAGCCAAATTTTTTAAATTGACAATTCCAATACTACTAATTGTCTGGTCATCCGGAAATAAAGTTATTATTATTACTATTATTATTATAAGCAATGAGCATTTAGTTACTAGCTTTGTAGATCTGACAGATTACACAAAGTGCCCGACCAGCTCAAGGAGAGACCGTACTGACCTGCCATCATGGACAAAAGCAAACCCAGAAAATACAACGATTATTCTTATGAGCGATTCTAAGAAACTGCACATCTGAAAGTCACCTATAGAGCTCCTCGTAACAAGGAGTTTTCATCAACGAACGTAACTTACAACAATAACGGAGACTTGTATTATGTAAAAGCAGCCAGCAGTTCCGTAATTCCAATTAAATTATTCACGACATCAGTCGCCTGCAATGGGGTTGGAGATGGCAACGATGCCGTCGCTTTGCGCTCAAAGCTCAAAGAAACAAATGCCGCTCAACTTGCCTTCATACAAAACCGAATTACATCGTTTCTTCTTTTTACATTCGTACGTACAACACATAGGCCAAGAGTTTGTGGAGATTTTGTATGAAAGAATCTTAAAACTGTCCTGTGCATGGACCAATAAATTTAAGTTGAAACTGTAGAATGCAAATGACAAAAAAGGACAAAAATTAGCTACAGTAGATTATGTATTTAGTTGATGTTCGTATTTATGAGTTTCTGAATTTCAGTCCTAGATATAGAATGTAGCCACTTTTTTAAATTTCTTTTGAAACAATTTCCGAAACGTAAAACTTTTAAGTCTTTAGGTATAATTTCATAAAATTTAGGCGCTAAATAGAGATATGATCGCTGCATTATATATTTATGCGGTTGAGGAACTACTGTGCCACGAATTTTGTACCTGGTATAATGATTATGTTTAATTTTCTGGTCGGTGTTTACAAATTTATGGTAGTGAGTGATACTGTGTAAGAAATAAAGCTGTCTTATATCATACATTCGAACATCTGTGTATAATTTTTCAGTGGGATAAAGTTTCGGTTTTTTAAATATCATTTTTAGAATACTTTTTTGAAAAACATCTAAATTATAGATATGTGAGGAACATGCAGCTCCCCATGCTAATATACCATATGTGAGATGAGGCTCAATCAGTGCATGGTATAATGTTCGAAGATATATTTCTGTCAATATATTCCCAAGGTATTTAATTTTGTAGGATACAAATCTAACTTTCTTTAAAATATAATTGACATGGATGTCCCATCGTAAGTGAGGCTCCAAGACCACTCCAAGGTATTTTATGTTGGGCACTCTATTAATTTGCATTTTTTGATCATTAATATTGAAGGAGAAATTTGTGTAATTTGGCAGATGTCTAGCATAAGATCCAAATGGTAAAAAATGTGTTATAGAGTAGTTAATGCTTAATTTTCTACTGTTAAACCACCGAATAATTTTGATAAAATTATTTTCAATTACATTTTTCAGATCAGACCAGTCAGTGCCTTCATATAATATTGCAGTATCATCTGCAAAACTAGTTATTTGGCCAACACAATTAATTTGGAAAATATCATTTAAATATATATTGAATAACAGCGGACCTAAGACAGTTCCTTGTGGGACACCACACTTAATATACATTTCTTTACTAAATGATCCTGATATCTGCGCAGATTGTGGGCGATTTGACAAATAACTTTCGATCAGTGAGTACGCGTTTCCTCTGAAACCAATTCTCTCCAATGCTTCTAATAATAATTTGTGATTAACTGTGTCGAAAGCTTTCTTTAAATCAACAAAAATGCAGATTGAAGGGATTCTGTTATCAATATTTTGATGTATTTGATTTACAATTTTAGTTATTGCGTCCGATGTAGCCTTCCCTTCTGTAAATCCATATTGATTTTCACTTAAAATTTTGAATTTTGTGAGGTATCGAATCATTCTAGTAGATAAAACTTTTTCAAAAACCTTTGCTACACTGGATAT